TAGTGCTCCTCTATATGAAGTGTTCCTCTGTATGAGCTATTCATCTGGTTGGTTCATGCTCTGAATGACTATATTCATAGTAGCCTAGTGCATGCAAACAGAATCAAGTAGGATGATGGTGGTCCTATTTTCTACAACGATTATTTCCATATTTAGAGGATTCAGTTACCTTATAATAATCGCTTATATAAGAGGTGATATAAGTATAGAATAGAAGTGACGATACACACTTTGTAACACACATATATACACAAATATCACATGAGAATCGATTAGGGTTTTTGAGAGAGTTTGTATTCAATAAAGAAAGCGGCGACCAATTTCTATCCATCTTCTTCTACAAATATCTCATTTTCAATTCCTTAACCTTGTTCTACTGTCAGATCTGGGCCAACAATGACTAGTATGATGATTTCCTTTTTTTTTACTTCCTCCATCCGAAAATATGTGCCTATATTTTTTTTATGTGTACCGATATAAAACATCCACTTTCATATTAAGTGTATATTTTCCAGTTTCACCCTTATTCTGAGATGGATAAATCGATCACTCCTCTATTATTATAAGGGTATAATTGTCATTTGATTAATTAAAAAGTATAATAATTACATATATCTAAAACTGTGTCTTTTTCATCGTAAACATTTATTTTTGGAACATTGATATAGGTTAAACAATTACATGTATTTATTTCACTATCAAGCTACAATGAGAAGTACCTACATGCAATAATAGTAGTATGATGGAACGAGTCCAGGATCTGCCATCCCATGCAGGTCTCTGTTCACTAATGTTTTCAAATGGTGAGGGACAGTCTGTCCATGTTGATTCATATGCATTTCGATTAATCATGTGGGCCTTAAATATAACAATCAGATAAATATTCAGTTGTTTTAAATAGATTCAAACTGATGTTCTATAAAAATATGTAGATTGGATTTGACTATTATTGTGGGTTGTCAAAAAAGTCAAACACACCGTGTGTGCATGGTGGCATATATGCTTTCATCATGTGAATCACAAATCACCCTTTTAATTATTTTTGTAGCAACTTTGGCTCTAAGCATGCTTCATGAACCTATAAAATACTCACCCTATGTCCTATATGCACCAAACACCCCTATTTAATTATTCTAATAAAATGCCAAATGTTTAGAGATAACTCTAACTAATGTCTTGTATATTAATGTTTTATAACAATCCCTGGAAAAAAAACCCAGTTATTACAGAATACATGTCAATTTTATCTGTATTCTCTTTGCAAGTAGAATCTGTATTGTATTCAATATCATATTTAATTAACAAATCGAATATTGGATAGGTGCTTCTAGGCTAAAAGTACATGTAAGATATGAGATTTAGAGCTGATTTATGTATATGTGCATGAATGCATGAGTAGTTTAGTACTGATCGTCTTGTAACAACTCTAGTCAAAGAAAGCGACTTGCATACCATATGGGCTTAGAAATATAACATGATAATTTGACAGTGTGTCAGGTTTATAGGTTGTTGGGACATTAATCAAGACATGTATGTGAAGGACTCGACATAATTAAGATATACACTACATGTCGTACTTAATCTTAGGTTGTCATCCACATCAAATTAGAAGTTGGTTGCACCCAATACAATGTAATCATGACAAATAATCATTATATATCGATAAACATAGTTTTCGTCCAGGAACGAAAATACCAGCTTATGAGTTGTATCATATGATATTGAGTCATCAGAGTAGGATTCCCAGCATTTGTTCCAGCATCTGAAACATCGGGCTTTTATTGCATGTGCTGCTTTCTTCATAGTGATACAAGCACTTCCATCAGCTTCATCCTGCTCAGGCATATCCGTATGTGAAACCAGATGTCAAAAAAAATAAACGATCAAGAAATTATGCAAAAAGAAAAAGAAATATTGCCTTAGCAGTTAGTATTTTTAAAAACAAGGTTATAAAAAAAAATGCTATTTCCATGCTCTTTATTGGTTGAACGAGTGTTACAACTTGGTAATTAGGACATATAGTATATCATCTAATTCAACAACTCTCAAATAATATCGACTCTTTTCAAACTATAGGAACCAGATTGCAGACGTGGATGATACAATTAGGGCAAACAGTAGGCCATGGAGACCGCATTTGACTAGATAGAGGTGTTAGGTTTGTTTATCCATCACAAACCAGATATTTTAAAACGTTTTGAAAACAGACTGTCATAAAATAATTGATTTCTCGGATAAATATTTCATATTTATTAGTAAACAAACAACTAAGCATTTTACCACTTTGTATCCTATAATATGCACTATGATTAAAAACTAAAATTAATGCTACACAATGATGTCAAGATTTTGTATGTTTAATTCAAAATATCAATCCAAACCCCCTCCCGAATTATATATAAAGTGTATAAGTCAATTTCTCATTGACGACGAGTTTTTGTGGAACCGATTCTATTTGTCATTGTTGCAATATAGGTTGTAATTTGAGATAACATGAATCTATTATTTGTCGGGCTCGATCCCAGTCAACGGAATAAGATCTACCAGTTCTACAAAGTCTGATTTTTATCCTTAACGTTTTTTTTTCATTATAACGGTTTCATCCCTGAACTTATTTAATTGGTTTTTATTCCCTACATTTGTTCAAGTGAGTGGTTTTCAAGATTCTTTCAAACGGTTAGCAATAAAAATAATCGGCAATGTGGTTTCAATGTTGAGCAACTTCATAATACATTGCGAGGTACAAAGTAAATGGTTTTATGGGAACTTATTGGCTAACAAATATAGGTCCACCCATACTTAGACGGCCCGATGGTCGGACCAAGTTAGATACGATACCATATGAGGTCTTTTCAGTCGATGCGGGGGATTGCAAACATGACGTGTAAGCTGAAATAGAGATAGTGAGATTGGGCCCAACTCAAGACCGGTAATAGGCCTGGGTTTTTTTTAAGTTAATTTTTTATTAAATATATAACAAGTTTTTCAATATTTTTACAAGATTTTCAAGTTTTTTTTGAAGTTTTCAAGTTATTTTTGAAGTTATTTTTAAGTGTAATTTCAAACATCGTAATTATAAACCCGGTCAAACCCTATGAATTTTTTTGTTAGTTAAAAAAGAGTTTACCGGAGATCCCCGGCCCTCATACCCGTTTTAGCGGGGAATCCCTGTCCCCGTTCGGGTCGAGTGAGTCGGGTTCCCCATCTGGTCGGGGCACATCACCATTCTCAGTTGAGGGAGTCTTCCCTCAAACAACCATTCTCTTTTTGTAGCAGATGTCTAAGGGGTTGTTTGGCAGTTGTTAAATGATTTGATGCATAATGATTAAATTTCTGAATAATTCAGAGGCTCTCATGACACAGTGTAAAATGAAATATAATTATTTACAATGAAATTATGGCGCTGAATGGTTAAGGGATACCCATGATACAAAATCATTCAGAGGGTTTTAGAACCATTAAGAGTCAGACATTTTTTTTTACCAAACAAGATTTACATCTTAATGATTTAGAGGCTGCATCTTATGAAACCATTAAAAAGTAAACAATCAACCCCCAAGTAATGCAAATATCTCATATCTATACTCAAATTTGAGTTGAAATATGTTGATGTTTGGTTTAATTTACGTTTTTATTATGTATTATTAACATCATAAATTATTGTAATATTAAGAATAAACCTTTATCATAAAAAATCTAAAAATTCATTATATTCACATGATGGAAATGTTTTATATAAATGTTTATATCTTAAAAAAAAAAAAGGAAAAATCTGAAAAAACAAAAAACTATCTGATTTTGATTGATTAAATCATTAAACTATTTTTTTGAATGATTAAACCGTTAAACTTTCTAAAATCAGTTCAATACATCCTTGTAACCTGTAAAACAAGTTAATGTGATAAAATTTATGAAAAGTTTAAAAAATTCTCAGCAAACTATCTGATGTTGAATGATTAAGTCTCTGATGTTGAGGAATTATAATGAAAATAACGTACTTTTTCTCTGTATAATTGATTCTTTATACTTTGTTGTCCATGCGAGAAATTGTATATATTTTTTTTGTTCAAAAAGTTTCTGATTTATTTGTTCAAAATTAAGTTCATGATTTTGTTTCTTAAAAAAAGTTCAAGAATTTATTTGGTAAAAAAATTTAGAGATTTATTTGTTAAAACATATCATAAACTTAATCATTCAAAATTAGATAGTTTATTGAAATTTTGCAGATTTTTTTTAAATTTTCATCACAATTAATATGCTTTACGGATTACTAGAAGAGTATTCGTGCAATGCATCGAGACACATTTTAATTTCAATGTTTCGTTTTGTTTTTTTATCCATGTCGATATAATACAATTTTATATGATTTTGAAAAAACGATAATGTTTCTATTTATGAATAAAATATAAATTTGAAA